TCGCCCGTCCCCCCCCCCCCCCCCCCCCCCCAACCCAGCGAGCTGCTGACTCACAGGATAATCTGGTTTTTGTAGCTGCGGCTCAGCTCCTTGTGAGGAAGGACGATGGAGTTGAGAATAACGACCTCAGCAGGGATAGTGACACTGCAGCCTACAGGGAGAGCATGAGAGGGTTAGCAGGAGGGGAGAGACTCTGCCCTACTGTGTGGGGCCAGGGCGGCTGGGTACGGGTGGGACATACCCAGGATTGTGATGGACGGCGTGAGGCGCCCATCCCGGAAAAGGGTCTCGCTGTCAATCTTGGCATAGGGATCATTGGGGTTGGGGTCACTGGGCGTTCCTTCAACCCGGGCCCAGCGCCCGATGGTGCTGTCCCAGCCCACGATGGTATTGAGGACACAGGTGTGGTCCTGGGGCAAAGGAGAGGGGGATGAAGGGTGCTGCTGCATCCCTGCAGGGGGTGGGGGTTCACACACACCCCCAGGCAAACCCTACTTACGTGGAGTGAGGCACCATGCAGGACGATGGACTCTCGCACGCGCACGCCAGCTCCCACCGTCACCCCCTCCCCAATGGAGACGTTGGGGCCCAGCTGTGAGGACAGAGGGAGGTGATGAGGTCAAGGATGACTGCACCCTGAGCACCCCCAGGCACTGCCCTGCGCAAGTCCCCCCAGGCCTGCACTCACCACTGCAGTGCTGTCGATGGAGGCTGTCGGGTGAATGTACACATTCCCTGCAACAGAAGGCAGCTGTGTCAGAGGTGGCAGCTCACAGGAGCACTCAGATCAGGGGAGGTACTGCCCATGGGTCCCACTGACCCCCCAGGTGGTGGTGGGGTGTCAGAGAGGTACCTCGGATGACAGGGCCTCCAGGTTTGTTCTGGGCCAGCCTCTCTGGGTGGCTTTTGCTGTACTGGTTCAGGTAAAGGCGGCTTGCATAGATAGCAGAACTAGGGAGGAAAAGCAAAAGATTGTTATTGCCTCTCCAACACCACCAGGGCAGAGGAGGGTCAAAATTCAGCACCCTTCACCCACCCCCAGGGCCCTGCCTGGGCACCCTCCTCTCCCATCTCTGGTATGGATCGCTTGATGCTCCCGCTGCACCAACTCTAGCCCCAGCCCTTACCCAGCTGACTTGATCTGGCTCCAGAAGCCATCAGTTTTGTAGACATAGAGTTTGCCGCTCCCAGCCAGCGCCGTGAAAACGTCCTGCTCTAGCCGGATCACTTCTGCACGCTGCCAGCCATTGGAACTCTCTTCTCTGCAAGTGAGAGGCCTGTTAGACACCCACCCCAGTCACAGCCTCAGCCAGGGACCCCAGCAGCTACCCTCCCCAAATCTGGAGTCTCCGGTGATCCCAGACTCCTACCTAGCCATGCACTTTTCCCCAAAGGTGCGGACAGCCCCAGCTGTCAGGCTAGGCCTGCCCAGCCCCACTGAGCCCCAGAGCAGCAGAGGGACTGGGCTCTGTCAGCTGAAATAAGCTCTGAGCCAGAAGTTGGTGGTGCAAGAGCTCCACCCAGTCCAAGCGGGTGTATGAGCAACAGATCCTGCCCCCGCTCCAGAGCCCTGCACAGCTGGATTTTTGCTTGGGTGGTGGCAGAGATGTCAGGTGACAGGCTGGCTGGTGCAAAGAGCTGGAGGGGGGAGCAGAGCATTCCCAAGTGAAAGGCTTGCTAAGGCCTTTATCCAGAGCTGAATGAGAATGGGGTGGGAGGAGAGCAAGGGAGAGGGGAGTCTCAAGCTGGCCAGAAGGGGAGCAGAGGCAAGAGCAGCCTTGCAGAGCGGCCTGGAGCAGGGAGGAAAGCATGCGTTACCGCTAGGGACAATCCAGCCTGGAGAGCAGCCAGTGCAGACACAGAGGGAGACTTACCCAAGGTAAGGACAGCTGGTGCAGGACCAGGAAACAAGTGAGTGATGGCAGAGGAGGAGAGAAGATAGAGAAAGAATGGAGGATGAGCGTGCCGCTGCAGCCCCGGGAAGCAGTGGGGTGGGTGGGATGTGGGGCAGAGAAAGGCACTCACAGCACGAGCTCCTGCTGGTTCCTCTGGAAGACCTCGCCGATGTGCTGGAAGATGGCAGGTGAGAACAAGTAGATGCCACAGTTAATGATCTCACTCACAAACGTGCTGGGCTTCTCTACGTAGTGCTGGACCTAGAGGCGAAGGAAGAGATGCGAGTCCCGAGGCACAGCCCCTGTGCCTGGCATCACACCCCCTCTATGGCACGCTGGGAACATGCACCCACGCAGGCAGCGCAGCACCCACTGCCCACGCCATGCCCGGCTCCCCAAGGCCCTCCAGTACCTCCTGCGTGTCTGCGTTCGCCACGATACAGCCATAATTCAGTGCCTGCGTCCTGTTGGCCTGCAGAACGAGGACATGTTAGCAGTGGTGAAGCAGCGAGCATGTGGATGCAGAGCAGATGAGACCTGGAGCTCACACCCAGAGACCCATCCACCGCAGGAGCCGCTGGCTTCTAGACAAGCCCATGGCAGAGCACCGCTGCTCCTCTGTTCCCCAGCACTGCCACTCACTGTGGTACCCAGAATGACAAAGCTGTGCGCATCCCCGTGCTGCCGCCGGAACTCCAGCATCTCCTGCAAGGGGAACTCTGAGCACACGTCTGCGTTGAGGACAAAGAAGGCCTCAGCACCACCTGACAGGATCTGGTCTCGGAAGTGATAGATGCCACCACCCGTGCCCAGCGCCGCATACTCCTGGAGATACCTGCGAGCCAAGCAGGGAAAAGCGAGGGCTTAGGGAAGCAGGTGTCCGGTGGCACCGACAGGCAGCAGGGCAGGGAAGGGCTGGCAGGGGCTGGCGAGACATAATCCTGCCATGCAGCAATGGGGCTCATGTGGACATTAGCACAGGGTAAAGAGACTGTGGCAGCTTGGAGCTGTGCTGGAGAGGCATCTCTGGAGCAGGAACCAGCCAGGGCAGGGCCCAGGGCAGGGGAAATTTGGCAGAACTAATGCGGGACGCCAGTTGTGCCCATCCATGGGGGGGCAGGGCCCACCTGCCCAATGCCTAGGCGCTGGCTGGGGGCTGC